AAATTTAATAAAAAATGATTATCAGATCTATTGTGTCACAAATTTTAAATAAGTAATTGGTTTCAAATATTTTTTCTTCTGTCAAAAATAATTTGGACTTTGGGCTTTGGGTTTTTTTGACCTTTGAAGTTCAAATAATTTGGGCCTATTCTACCATCCAAATCCCAAATTATTTTAGAATTTGGGTGGCATGTATAGTTTGATATATCTTGATCTTATAATTCAATGACAAGAAAATCTGACTTTTCATATTGATGTGTAATTTGAAGGCTAAGATAATTATCTTATTTAGTTCTGTTGAATAAATCTCTCTTAACAAGAATTGTGATTGTGTTTTCACAACATCATCTTTCTTGATACAATCACGAAAACTAATTGACATTTTATAATTCTGTGTATAATAATTTTGTAAATAATTATAATTGCTCTTGTCTTATAACAACAACCATCCTTTCAGATAAAACCAAGAGTAATTTTAAATGGTTATTTAAAAGTCTCCTTAATGCAATAGGTGGATTAGTATCATAACTGCTATATATAGAAGATACCAACCTTACAATAATTACTGTGATAAATAGTTTCTGACCAATGATAAAATATTATTTTTGTTTATTTCATATTTGAAAAAATCTTAAAAAATATTTTTTGAACAAATATTATGACAAAAAATGAAATGAATTTTTGCAGCATTCTGTCACACATATAATAATCATATAGAATCGCTTTTTAAGAAAAAATGAACTACACTATTATCAGAATATAATGATGTTACTAGCTATTTGTAATATTAACTTTATTCCTGTTGGGAGGTCTGAATATTGTACTATACGTATCATGCGTTCAATGCCAAAATACAAAGTATATAATTAAAACTCCGCATAGGCCTTAAGACTCGCGAACCTAGCGAGCTGAGCTAATCCAAGCTAAGCCGAGCTTGATATTATAGGCTCGCGAGCCAAGCCCAACTAAGGCCTAGCTCACAAAGCTCGAGCCTTAAAAATTTTGGAGCTTTAAATAAAAGTCCACATAATTTTTTTTTTTAAAAAAATTATCCGTTGCTTATGAGTCTAATATAAGGCTCGCAAGCCTATAAAGCTTGCGAACCTACTATGAGGCTCGAGCTGAGCTGAGCCTATATAAGTAAGGCTCAACTTGACTCGAGCTTGGCTTAAAACTTTTGGGCTCAGTTCGGCCTGAGTTTTATGAGGTTCAGCTCAGCTCGACCTATGAGGAGCTTTATATATAATGGGTAGAATTATATAACAAAATATTAAAAATTATATTAGCAGATCTTTATCCTTTACAGAACTTGAATTCATAATTGAAAGATTGTTACAGAAAAAAAGTCATTTTATAAGTTTGAAAGAGGTTATAAGTAAGCTTCTCGTAAATCAAAATGAGAATTTTCATGATTATTATTTCAAAACAATTAATAAATTTTGTCAATATTACTTGACATCAGCAATTCTCAAGTTACAATAAATGAAATGAATCACAGCATGTATTATTGATGTTGAATTACTAGTTTAGAAAAAGAAAAGGTATAATTTCTTATAATTTTTGAAATTTTTTTTAATATTTATTAATTCTTTTCCTTTATTATAGGCTAATTCCAATTTACCAAAAAACATATTTCAGAAAATATGTTTGATGCTTATATAATCGAACTTGATAAATTAATTATGAACATTAATTCAAAAAAAATTTACAAACTTTGGCATATTACTTCTATTAATAAAATGAGTAAATATTTTATAGTATTATATAATAATACTGTACATCTCTGCATATACCTGATTTTAATTAACTGTAATCTTATATGTCATCATTTTTTCATAGTAATATTTAGTTTTATCAACTGTTAAATTTAATATTAGCCTTGTTTAACAACATTGATATATAGACTCAATTATAAAAAAAGATCATTGTTTTCAAGATAAGAAAATAATTTCAGTAATTTTGAATTAAGAATTCAATACTGTAAAATATAATATTGAAATTAACTTTTCACACTTAGAAATCATCTGAAAAAATTATGTCTTTACCAAAGAAGTTTGTAAAGAGATGACCTAGAAACAGTAGTATGGAAAAAGATTTGATATTATGAAAAAAATATTGAATCTGATTATTGTAACAGGTAGAATAGAAGAATTTTACAAAATTCATTTGAAGTAAGCTAAAGAAATGGAATCTAAAATCATTGGTCAAGTTAAAAATGATGATAATATTACTAAATTCACTTTCACTATTATATCAAGAATTTAATTAGGTATAGATTTATGGAAATATCACATGACCTCCAGAAATTTATACCTGAAAATTTTGATTTTTTAACTTTGACTAAGATTTAGATGACAGGGAGTGATTTTTTACTAAGATATTTTTAAGATAGATCGAAAGCCCTGGTTTTTGATATATGTTTCATTACTATAGCATCAATATTCGTGAAAAAATTCATGTTTAAATTCAAACATCTGTGAAAATTTATATTATAATTTTTCTGTAAATTTTCATAATTTTACTGGAAATTTTTTATTATGTCACAAAAATTTCCAGCAGAATTACGAAAATTTACAGAAAAATTATGATATAAATTTTCATGAACGTTTGAATTTAAACATAAATTTCTCTGTGAATATCAATTCTATAGTAATGAAACATATATTATCTTGTAGCCAAAAACTAGGGCTTTCGATTTATCTTAGAAATATCTTAGTAAAAAATCACTTCCTGTCACCTAAATCTCAGTCAAAGTTAAAAAATTAAATTTTTCAGGTGTAAATTTCCAGAGGTCATATGATATTTCTGTAAATCTATGTCTAGTTAAATTTTCTGATATAACAATTTTATTGACATAAAGAAAAAAGGAAGGAAGTCTAAAAATAATGTGAATTGCAAGGATAAAAAAAAAGAGACAATTGAATCTGATCAAAATAATAAAGAGAATAGTTAATTTCAAAGATTTTGATTATGTAGATAATTGTAAGGGCAAAAAAAGAGTTACATCTGAATATAATCAAAATAATATAAGTTGTGAAAAAGTGCAATGTAAAAAGGTCCAAAAAATATTGCAAAATATTAAATCTAATGACTTATGAATGGAGAAATTAACACTAGGAGAGTATACAGTATTTGTAATAAAAAAAGATATAATGTATGGACATATGTAAAAGGGAAGATTATTTCTAGTTAACTTTAACAGCAATATGTAAGAAAGTGAAAGAAAAATAAAAAAAGAATGTATTATGTTATTTTTTTTTTAATGAAATTAAATAAATAAAAACAATTTATCACAATTTTTAATGTATGCAATATGTAATATGTAATAAGAACAATAAATAAATTAAATCATGTGAATTATATTTTACAATTTTATATTAAATCATGTGCAAATCATGTATTTATTTTTATTGGTTAATAATTTCTGGTATTAAATACTACTGGTATAATTTAACAATGTCATTATTTATAATCAATAATTCAATTATAATTTTATTAATTAAGTTAATAATCAGTTCCAGGTGATAAAATTGAATGTATATCATAAACAGATAATATAATTGAAGTGAAATAAATTAGTCCATATGAGCATAACAAAAATTCATTTTTTGATAATTACATTACATAAATTTTTATATAATGAATATATATAATTTTTGTTACCATATAAGTGTTACACTAATAACTGCAACCTTAAATCACAATATTTTGCAAGATCATTTATTTATTATTTTTCTAATGAAATTTATATAAGTATCAATGAACACCAGAATTATATACAAGTTACCTTAAAGACAAATTTTAAAATAATATGTAATTAGACTTATTATAAAAATAAAAAATAATAAATTTTTGTATTTATTGTAATTATTGTAAAGTCAACTTTTCCTAAATATAAATTATTTTAATAAATTTTTATGCTTAAAATCCTTCTTTAAATATATTATTTAAATTCCTAAATAAAATTACAATTTATACAATATACATTTAATAAATTTAAAAAATTTGTGAATATACTTGTAAAGAGTTAGCCAATCATGTTCTATGTAGATCACTCCAATTAAAGGAAACTTCCCAAAAATTTTTAGCGGAATAAATCGGAATAATTGATGACACCATGATAAAAATTTGTTATTTGATATCTGTTATCAACATATCAAACATATCATGTGATTACGCCTTTAACATATGACAACTAGTGGGTCAAAATTTTTCACCAACATGTTCGGGTTAGAGTTGTCAGTTGACCAAACTCAAACTCCGTATATAAAAAAAAATAAAACCTTTTTTTACAGATCATAAATAAATATATATATATATAATAAAAAATGTCAAATAATCCAACAGTAACTTTGTAAGTCGATATTCAAGAAACTCTTTTGATTTGATGCATTCTTATTACCTCCCAAACACACGATGGACTAATATGAACGCGTCGTAATTTCATTCCATTCGTTCATCCAGATATCCTTTAAGTGAGTTAATAAAAATTTTTTATTATTAAATGAATATTAAATCATTCATTTTTTCATTTTTTATTTATTTTTGAAATTGGTTTATGAAATTCACACTTCATACACAAATTATATAATTTTTTCTGTTAGTTAATTATACATTTGGTACGAAAGAAGCGCAGCCTGAAGAAGATCCTTCCGTGGCGGCAAGATTAGCGCGTTTACAAAATGATTATGAGGTGACTGGTATGCGAAGGACTGTAGAGGGTGTTTTAGTAGTTCATGAACATAATCATCCTCACGTACTGATGTTACAAATTGCCAATTCATTCTTCAAATTGTAAATTCGAAATTTATTTTAATCTTGTTTTTAATAATAATTTTATTTTATTAAAATAATTTTACTCAAGATATAATCATTATATATTTATATATTTATATTTATAAAATATAACATTACATATAAAATAGACCTGGAGATTATTTAAAACCTGGTGAAGATGAAATTGAAGGTCTTGAAGCCAGATTAGATGAACGTTTATTACCTGTTGTAACATATAACAGTAATGCGCCTAAAGAGGAGTGGCAAATTGGAGAATGTTTAAGTGTTTGGTGGCGACCGAATTTTGAAACCTTTATGGTATGATGGGATGGGATGAAATTTGAGGATATGTCAATTTGGCAATATTTTTTTTTCAATTTTGTGGAATTCTGAATTTTTTTTTCTTTTTCTAATCTAATAATAAATATAGTATCCATATATACCCGCACATGTAACAAAACCAAAAGAACAAAAGAAGATTTTTTTGGTTCATCTTCCAGAAAAAAGTACGTACATTTTTATTTTTTTTTCTCTTTCATAATCTTAATGACATTGAGTGATATTTAAAATAGCATTGAACGTCTGTATATATTTATGTATATATAGAAGTATTGTCAGTTCCTAAGAATATGAAATTATTGGCAGTTCCATTATTTGAACTTTATGATAATTCACAACGTTATGGACCACAATTATCCGCAATTCCTCATTTACTTAGTCGATTCAACTTTATTTACGAGAAATAAAGAAAAAACAGGTATTTCGATGATTTCAATAATATATATTTATGTTTTATACATATTATGTTATTTAGATATTAAATATTTAGTGTCGGTTTGTATATTTTATGCTAGAGAAATGTGACATGCTAATACTATATTTTATTATTACATTTATTATATTGATTATGAATAATAATTATTATTATTATGTAAATCTTCATATCACGAATGAAATCTTTATTATTAGAATTTCTGCAAATTTGTTTTTTTGCACATAGACTAAAAAAAATTCAAGTATTCGAGTAACGTGTAAAATTGAGAAAATCTTAACCTGCAGGGGTTAGGGTTAGGTTTGTCAGATGTAGTATATTTATCATGCTTTATTAAAATAAGTTATTTTGTTTTTATAAAAACGTAACCTTATACTCCTTCAATAAACAACAATGCAAAGAGGATAGAAAAGAAAAAATCTTTAGTTCAAAAATTTTCCTTTCAAATCTTTTTGTTTAATAAAATTTTTTTTTAAAAAAAGTTTTCACAATTTGTAATATTGATTAATACAATACAATGAAATTGCAAGAACAAACTTTATAATGAATACTGTTGACATGTTCATCTGAAAAATAAAATTATTAACTACCGAGATTCATAAATTTTTATTATAATACAATCAATTACATAATTAATATAAAAGAGATAGATATTGATATTACCATTGTTGTAAGATTATCATATTTTTATTGCAAAGTTATTCTCAGGATATTTTTTAATATCACCAGGATATTTTTGAGATTTTTATAATAATTGTAAAATATTATGGAGATATTGCTAGAATATTATTTTTTATCTTTTTGATATTACCGAGATGTTATTTATATTATACTAGGGAAACGGGGACCGTTGTAAGTTAGAGATGTGATCCGTGGATGACCAATCCGTCAATCCGACGGATTATCCGTGATATCACGGATTGACGGATTACATTTAAAAATTTATATAATCCGGATTTAAAAAAAAATAATCCGGATCTTTTAAACTTTTAAAAGTGATCCGTCAATCTGTGTTACCACG